CAAACAGAAAGAAGGTTCCTGCTCAAGAGTTAAAAATTTGAAGGTAATCTTAAAATTAGGTTTGGGAAAGATTTCCTCCCTATTTCCAGGGCCTATAAGCTTCAAGATGGTCACCCATCAGAGCTGGAAGAAAGGTGATGTACATACACAGAAACCTATTCTGACACATGCAAAGAAAAGTGTTAGCACAGCAACTTCCCTTCTTAAGAAGAAGGTTCCTGCTCAAGAGTTAAAAATTTGAAGGTAATCTTAAAATTAGGTTTGGGAAAGATTTCCTCCCTATTTCCAGGGCCTATAAGCTTCAAGATGGTCACCCATCAGAGCTGGAAGAAAGGTGATGTACATACACAGAAACCTATTCTGACACATGCAAAGAAAAGTGTTAGCACAGCAACTTCCCTTCTTAAGAAAAGCAGCTTTTATTTTGTTCTGCAAAAAATGCCTGTGCAACTCTCCTTCTCTGCAACAAGCACCAGATGTGTTTTGCCATGGTTCTGACTTCTTAGCAGCTAAGAAATTGCTTTTCTGAAAGAGTATGTTTAAGTAGTTAATCACTAAGGTCTGCAGGGTAATCTTGGAGAAAAAAATAATTGAATGAACAAGGCCTTACAATATTCAGTATTTCAATTTAGCCATTTATTTATCTTGAGGGTGTGGGATATGAGGTTGCTCTGTGTGTAAATTAGATTCTGGGATGTAGGTTTCTTCAAATTCAGACTTGCTAAAAGATATACTGAAGGAAAGAGTTTAAGGAAACTCCACTTTCCTACACCCTGTAGTTTTCCACCCTCAGGTAAATCCTCAAGGCTGTGGTGGGAGCTCTGTCCTGTCCATGCCTGGCATAGAGCATGCCAGAAGTTCGAAATGTTTTACTAATTCTCTCTGTAAGTTCAAAAGACACCTCTGCATCATGGTCATTCTTTCTTCAATAGTCATACCTTTGCCTTCACAGTGAGGGATGAAAATGAAGTCCGATAAAAGCAGCACTCAACTCAGACATACCAGTACATAACCAAACAGGTATCATCCACCAGGACCTGCACCAGGCTAAGGAAGGATGCTTGGAATTGCAATAATCCTCCTCTTGCTAGGCTGAGGAAGGGCTTCATAGAATGCTGAACCACCTAGCTTGGATTCTTTCTAAGGAGCTGTGGGTTCTTAGTTTTAATATCATGAAGGTCTTCAATGAGCAAGAGCCACATTCTCCCTGATGTAACCAGTGTGCCCTAAGGTACCAGTGAGACCTCCCTCACAGAATCCTCTGCTCTGTTTCTAGTTGGTCCTTGCTCTTGTCTGCAAGAAATCACCTTGGGGTCAAACTGAATGAGGGAAAGTCTAGGTTGGATGTGAGGAAAAAAACCCCTTTTTACTCTAAGGGTGGTGAGACACTGTCCCAGGTTGCCCAGGGAGGCTGTGGCTGCCCCAGCCCTGGCAGTGTTCACAGCCAGGTTGGCTAAAGCCTTGAGCAACCTGCTCTGGTGGGAGGTGTCCCTGCCCAGGGCAGGGGGTTGGGACTGGATGATTTATAAGATCCATTCCAACCCCTAAATTCTATGATTCTATGATTCTTTAGTTCCAACTGGGACTGTAGGTTGGTGTCTAGCATGGGGCAAACTACTGGTTTGAAGTGCTTCTTTTTCCTTTTGCCACTCAGCAACACAAACAATTCTGGCAGGAAAAAAAAAAAAAGAAGGGAAAGCAAAACTATAAGCTAAAAATGAGAAGAAAGGCATAATATTGGTGTTTTGGTTACAGGTGGCTGGATGGAAGAGTGTAGGTCAAGAGCTGGGAACTGTTAGCAAAGAAGAGGGAATTCTGATCCCAGAATGGGATTTCTCAACAAATGCCCAGGTAGGAAGAAGTTGCAAGTCAGCAAAATGTTCATGACTTCACTGACTCCAGAAAGCCAGAGGGAATCATTCCCTGTGGATACTATGGAAATATTAATTAGTATTTAGCATTCTGTTAGTTTTACATGGAAACTAGCACAGCAGTAGGTCTCCCCGATGAGTTACAGGGGGGCTGAAAGATTGGTGCAAGCACCGAGGGTGACAGCCAGGATAAAAGGAACAGAGAGGTAAAGAAATGCCAGTAGGACTGAGATGTGGAGTGTAGGAGATAATTCAGGTTTAACAGTAGCATGAAGGAAAGTGGATTAAGAAGGCAGAATTAAGCCCATGGGAGGGTTGTGTGTGTGGAGAGAAGGAGGTGTGGGATGAGCAGAAAAGAATAATACTTATAATGGAGTTGTTTAAGGTCTTGAGGTAGGTATGAATGTGTTGTATGGTTTAAAAAAATGCTACTAAGGAGTTCAGGTACTGGTTGACCCACAGCAACTCACCATGTGCTTTTGGCCCTCTGCAAATGCCAAGTGATGTTGGCATAAACTGCAGGGAAAGATATTGAAGCTAAATTTTACCTTTTATACAAGTTTTATGCAAATGTTGGTTAGCACAGCCCAACTGTTAGTCACAGCTTATTACGTGGCCACTCAACTGTGTGTCTCAACCTTCTTCTAATGTCCAGCCTGCAAACCATGTGGAATGATGCTCAGCAGCCACTGCAGCTTGTGTTGCCAAACTGTTAGCAATTCATGCAGTTGCAGTGCTTCTGGGGGACTGACCCAGCTCCAGTCTGTGTTGGCTCAGGGACCTTCATGCTGTTCCTTACTGCACAGTGCATATATGCTGAGTGTGAATTAGTGATAAACGGAATTGTGTGGAAAGAGAAGACAAGCTGCCTTTAAATAACTTTATTACCTTGAGGTTGTTTAAACCCTAGAGAACAGCCCATAGCAAAGCAAGTAATGTGTTTGAAGCAAGATTATGGGTGATGGGTTTGTTTTCACAAGGGAAAGGAAGAAATTATGAGATGAGATAAAGGAGATCTTTCTCACTCCTGGAAGGATTAATAGTCATGCTGTGCTTTCCAGACTAAGCATCCCCTGCTGTGCATTGGGAAGCAATCATATGCAGCAGAAAAGGTGAATTCCTCAATGACTGAATTTTAGGTTGGAAGTATATTGACAATATTAGAATGGACATAATGAAGATAAACCTATTCCCATTCAGACATCCTTCAGGGCTGAGTGAGCACTGCTGGTGATAACCTGAAATACCAGGAACAGAAATAGGGTGTTTTGGGGTGACTATCTCATACAGGGAGTATCTAAACATCCTAAAATATTAAGGGCTGTCACAATGTAAGCAATGAATTCCAGAGCTATCTAGGTTGGCTAGACTCCATAGGGGAGAGAAGGGAATCCCAAAGAACAGCTGTTCCCTATAGCAGCATGAATTTGCGTGCCAGTAGTTTCCAACCTTTTATTCTGGAGCTGTAAACTCCCTGTAACAAACCCAGTCCAGTGGCAGTGTAGACCCAAGAACAGCTCCCTAGCAGCATGAATTTGTGTGCCAGTAGTTTCCAACCTTTTATTCTGGAGCTGTAAACTCCCTGTAACAAAACCAGTCCAGTGGCAGTGTAGACCCCACAAGAGTAGCCTGTGGTTGTTAGTCTTGTTTTCCCATTTACTTTCCACAGGCCCTTTAGCAGTGGTTTGTGGGATTTCCCTTGGGAATCTCAAGCCAGGGATTGCTGGTCATTGCTCCTAGTGTGCTGTAGAGTCAGAGAAAGGAGAGAGGCTCCTGCAGCAGGTGGTTCAGAAGGTTGTTAAACCAGTTGCCATCTGGAAGAGAAGGAAAGGAGAAGAAATGTCCTTTGGGAGAAACCAAATATTGGAGGAGAAGGCAGATTAAATGGATCCTGAGACAGGTAGGAAACTTGGACCGTGCTCTCTCCCTCATTCTTGCTCAGCTGCTCTTACATCTTTCTTACTCTTCTGAGTTCCTGCCAGGATCATAAAAACCAGGTAATGCCACATTCTGTGCTGTGGAGATGGAGCACTCAGAGTGTGACAGAGGGAATAAATCCTGAGGGACGAAGATAAAAGGAGGTTTGCTTGAGAGAGGAATCTTCAAATACCAGGTGCCTCTCTCTGTCACACTTGCAGAATTCTTAGTAAGTCGTCACAGAGCAGTGCACAGTCCTGATGGTGGTCCTGGATGTGCAATGTGGTGGAAAAGTTCTCCTTGGAAAACTTCATTGCCCTGTAATAAATGTGAACAACCAACTCCATTATGTTGGTAGCACAGTTAATTTTTGTGATCCCTCCAGCCAGTGCAAGAGACATCTCAACAACCTGGTGTGAAACTGCTGTATTTTCATTTGAGAATCTTTGATTTGTCTTAAGTGTACAAGAATCAGTGAGATCCAGTGTTTTAGGAATACAAAGGGAGCCATGTGGAAAAAGTGGCAGAAGTTCTCCAGCATAAACACTGCCTTTGGTTCAGGAATTCCATACACCTCCTGTGTGAGGGCAGAACAAACCACTGCAGCTTCCCTGCCCAGACATTTCCCAGAGCAGAAATTGGGAGAGCCAGGTAATTAAAGTCAGGGGGACAGATGTGAGTAACAAGGATTCTGTTAACCCCCCTGTGCTCCTGTTTTTTTAGATTGCAATCTTCT